CCCATACGGATGGGCACCAGCATGACGTCTCCATACAAATCTCTATAAATTTGGGTAAAAAATTTCTCCGCATATCTTGCATAAGAAAAATTGCTGTAACCAGAATCTTGGCGAGAGTCTTTACATATCTACCTTCTTTCATTTCCCAGATTCTGGACTTTATCTATTGAACTGTTTTGATTTTTATTTTGATCTATTTTGAATTGCGTGAAACTGAAAACCAGCAATACCCTGTTTATGACCAAAACAGCTAAAAAACCATACCCTTTGGGGGCGCACATACCTATATAGCCCATATATGGGAGTACCCCCATACCTCTATAGCCCATATAAGGGAGTACCCCCCCGGATCAGGCGTTTGTTTTTTTAAAAAGGGAGGGAGGGTATGATTGCAGGTTACACTAACCTCTCCCATCTTTGATCGATCTCATTCCCAGAACCCACATGTCATTTGGTCAGCGCCAAGACACAGAGCTCTGGAATAATCAATTTCCAAACTCCAGTTCCCAGAGACCACGTGTCTTTTGGTTGGTGCTGACCAAAAGACACGTGGGCTCATGATCTGGGAACGAGATTGCCGTGTTTTAAACCAAGGCACGCATGCGCCGTGAAACCGGAACTCCTAAAATCTTGGAGTCTGGAAATAATAATTATTGTTTATTCCAGAGCTCCGTGTCTTGGCGCTGACCAAAAGACACGTGGGCTCCGGGAAGGAGATTGATCTTTGATTGAGGTATCACATGACTAATATTGGTTGACTGATCAGTTTTAATTGGACTTGGTCCGTCCAATCCAATCGGTCCAATCCTGATTTTTTGTTGATGTCCTGTACTGAAACTCTCAGATTTTCGAAATTGAATGCGCGCGCTCTGGGACGAGCAACATTGCGCACTAACTGCGCGTTCTGCGCATTACGTAAAACAACGCATGTTCTGTTCGCGGGGGGGGAGTCATTGCGGGGGGTAATCTGGTAATGTTTGAGTCGCGAGGCGTTGGGGTGTTCTCGCCATTTTGGAAGTGTATTTTCTAGTCTGTTTTTCTAGAGTCTTGATCTTTCTGATTTTTATTGAACCAAAAATTTTGAACTTTACAATGTCCATGAGGCGTCAGTTAAAAAACGTTGTAAACAATTACTCCAATGCAGAAGTGAAGGTTCGTGAAGCAACCTCAAACGATCCTTGGGGACCGTCAAGTTCTGTGATGACGGAGATTGCAGATGCAACCTACAATGTAGTTGCCTTTTCGGAGATCATGGGAATGATTTGGAAAAGACTCAACGACCATGGAAAAAATTGGCGGCACGTTTACAAATCGTTGGTTGTTTTGGATTATATTATAAAGACTGGCTCTGAAAGAGTGGCTCAACAGTGCCGCGAGAACTTGTATGCAATTCAAACTTTAAAAGATTTTCAATTTATTGACAAGGACGGTAAAGATCAAGGAATGAACGTGCGTGAAAAAGCTAAACAGCTTGTTGGATTATTGAAAGATGAAGATCGGCTGAAGAGTGAAAGGTCTCGAGCGTTGAAAGCGAAAGAAAGATTCGCTCAAGCTAATTCTGGGATTGGAAGCGATTCATTAAAGGCGGGCAACTTGCGAGATTCAGGCAGCACATCCGATTTGCGTCTTGAGAGTTCATCAGCACCAGCCTCAACTGTGCCTACAAGCCGTTCATGGGAGCCAGGGAGAAAAGTTATGGGCAGCGATATGGAAACCTGCCGTCCATCAAATGCTAATGAGGAAGAGTTACAATTGCAACTTGCCTTGGCACTAAGCAAGCAGGAAGCAGAAGAAAAAGAGAAATTAGAGGAGAGGGATGATCAGCGCCTACAACTGGCCATCAACCAAAGTCAACATGTGCCTCCAACTAGGGAGCCACCACTGTTTGATGTTGCAAGTAGTGGAGTGATGATGTCAGCACAGGATACTCTTGATCCCTTCGGTTCTACATCAGTGGCAGTTCCACAACCCCCAATGTCACAACCTGATCCTTGGAGTAGTGGTACCACGACAACTATTAGTACAACTTCTAACCCTTGGGAAACTTGTACAGTTCCTCAGTTGCCCGTGACAAAAACACAGAATTTTTTTGGAGCTTCTAATGGAACATCTGCTGTAGGAGCTATGGTTGGAACCCTAGATCCGTGGGGAGCAACACCTGTACCTGCTGCTACAACTATGGCTCAACCTCCAAATGATCCTTGGGGGGAAGGGAACTCATTTCCTGCAGCTGTAGTATCACAATCTCAAGGGCCATGGGAACCTACCCAGACTGAAAGTTTCAGTGCTTTTAACCAGACTAATACTGTCCAACAACCCTTGGATCCATATAACTTGCCAGATCAGGGCCAATCATCCGAACACAAAAAACCTGACGCATTTTTGGATAATAGGGTTTCCAACTTGGTGAATTTAGATCTGCTTACTAAAAAGCCTGATCCTGTTATAAACCCATTCTTGTCCAGCCAGCCAGCAGCATCCAGGTCAACAAATCCATTTGTGCAAGATAAACCTCAAGCACCAACATTGAATCAGCTTCGGGAGCAGCCAGTTGCAATGCCAAGCAGTATGCCAAGTATGGGTGGAGAGGTGTTGTTACCTGCACCACTTATCCCTGATTCTGGTTCAAGACCTCAAAATACAGCTCAAAGTAATCCTTTCTTATGAAGAAGTAGGCATCAGATCTCAGGGATAAAAGTAAGTTGTTTGATTTGTTCTTCTGATTCCATTACCTGTTACATTTTTGCCTTTAAAATGTGAAGTTTAAGGATAACATTGTACAGTGGGTGGCAGTGAGCATTTTTAACCTGTTGGTAAAAAATGGTTTTTTCCAGAAAATATCCTTACCCAACCACAGACAGCTTCCATATTTTAATCCCCCTTGCCTTAGGAAATTCCAAAATGCTCTACCACCATGGCTTTTGAATTTCTGCATTTGAGTTTTTTTTGTTTTTTGTTTTTGTTTAAAAAATACCCCTTGCTCAACAGCTCTGAGCTACAGTGCAGCTCAGATAAAAGGGAACTATGCATATGCAATCTATACGCGCATATTTTGCGTTTACACATATGGACATAAGTGTATAGTATGCACATAGTAGTCTCTTTGTTATGTATTCCCATAAGTTTCATATGAAGCATTGTTGGTCAAGGACATTTAAGGGAATAAAAAAGTGTTAGGCTTCAATGCTAAGTTGCATATTGTGAAAAACATCAGTGAAAGTTATCATACAGTGCAGCTCAGATATATCCGAACCAAAATATACGCGTAATTCGCGTCAGCCCAATACGCGTATACGCGTATGGATATACACACATACGCGTATGCATATACGCACATACGCGTATACAGTATATACGTGTATGCCTGATTAGTATGTATGAGCTAACCTATTGTTTTTTCTTTTCTTAACA